TTTCCTTTATCTGGATTCTCCTATTATTTTTTTATTTTTAAGTTTGTTTATTTTGAGAGAGAGCGAGCGAGCGAGCCTGCATAACCAGGGGATGGGTAGGGAAAGAGAAAATCCCAAACAAGCTCTGTGGTATCGGCGCACAGAGCCTGACAGGGGGATCAATCCCATGAACTGCAATGTGAGATCGTGACTCGAGCTGACCAGCTGACTGACTGAGCCACCCAGGTGTCCCCAGATTCTCTTATTGTTGACATTTACCTTTATCATTTGTGCATTATTGTACTTAAATATGTTCATAAGTGACAAAACAGTTCTCAACTCCATTCAACTTAAAGTTGATCTAAAACTTAAACTGTTGTTCATAGTCCAGTTTTGTCAGGTAACCCAGTTGGATCCTTCATAGCACTTTCCTCTTCCTTCTTCTGTCTTGGCAGGTGGTGTCTGCCCCAAGCAGTAGGCCCTACCTCCCTTGGTTTTTGCTCAGTATGAGCTTACAGAGAATTTTGGTTGTCTTGAATATTTTTCACAATGTTCGCCTTGTTCCGGTCATCACTCTTTCTGAGACTATATTACCACAATCTATACCGCTCTTTTATACTCTATGTTTGTCCCTGCTTACTGTCACTCTCCCTCTGTCCTCCCTACTCACCCTGCACCCAACTAGTGTTTCCCGAGACCAGACTCTTTGGGAAATGTCCTATAGCCGCCTTGCTTTTTTTCTTTTAGGTATTAGTTGCCATTATGCTGTAAGAGCTGTGTTTAAATAACCTGCAGAAATAATGATATATCAAAGGTTTTTGGGGCATGGTAAGGGGAACTGATTAGAAGAGTGATGTAGCAAGCCTCAGGTTTTTCTAGATGAGTGCTTCTCACACTTTAATGTGCACACCGACCTCCTGGGGATCTTGTTCAGAGCGCAGGTTCTGATTCAGTAGGTCTGGAGTGGGGCCCACGTTGCATTTTTAATGAGTTCCTACAGTGGCAAGGTTCTAGAGAAGTTTCAAGGCCTGGATGATTTAGATCCCAAGGCACTGACCTTTGGTAGGTGAGAGAGCTTTGTCAGTAGTTGATGGTCTTAAAAGGAATTTGAACAAAGAGAGGTGTCAACATGAAGACAAAAAGATGTAAGTCCTGAGTATTAAAGGTAGCTAGTGAATGGTGCATTATAGGAGATACAACTCAGAATCAGAATTAGGTCCCACTCTGTCATTCACTAGCTGTTACTTATACAAATGCTTGCCCTTTGAGCCTTGATCCTTGATCCTCTCTTTAAGATGGGGTAATAGTACTCACTTCTTAGGATTCAGTGAAGATTATTTACCTTCAGGTAGAAGTGCTTCTAACAAAGTGTCTAGCACATGCTATATGTGCAGTAAATGGAAGTTGCTATTAGCAAGTAGTAGGAGCTTGATGGAACCTGGTCCAGATTGTAGAACAGACGATTGACTATGAGCCATGGGCATTTAAGGAAGTGAAGTTCATTAGTGGCCAACATGGGTTGTCATGCCTTTATCTTTTTAGACAGGTATATTATCACATTTAGAGGAGTGCTATAGACCTAATTCCTAGCTTTGACATGGGAATTTGACAAAGCCTCCAGATATCTTTGTGGGCATGGTTAAGAAAAAATTGCATGTGAGTTGAGGTGGATGAATTTGTGGCTTGTAGAACGGAGGCACCACCACAGCAGTGAACGGAAATTGACATGAATGATGAAAGTGGTCTCCAGTGGCACCCGGTTTGCTTTTTGACTCTTTCAAATGCACGTGTTTTTTTTCTTAAAAACCTTGGGTGAAAGACTCAGTTACTATGGCCTCGATTTGTTGTCCTTGATAGCCCCAGACACAAGACCTCTGGGCCAGCCTTCCTCCCTTGAGCTTTTTTCTGCGTGCTGCCTTATTCTGCATTTTCCCTTGACAACTTCTAGAGCTCCCTACCATGCTACCCCTTTTCCCAGGGTTAGCACACTGCTTTCTGTCTTGTTGCTCTCTGGTGAGTGCTCCCTCTAACCTCTGCACTTGCTGAGGGCTTTTCCTTGAGGGTACTGCTTTGTCCAGTGGAAGATAGACATTCTTCCAAGCTGAATTTACCATTTATCTCAGGGTCATTCTTTCTGTTCCTCATTACTAGTTTCCCAGTCCTTTTCTTCTCTGAAGATGTCAGTATTTGTTTTATATTTGTTTATTTTAACCCCAGGCTCAGTTATCACCATGAGTCCCTTTGATATCCATATGGGCAACCTAGCCAATTTTTTAGACTCCACACTGCACGTCAGCCAGTCGGTGGTCACACATTATCTTACCATCCTGAAAGCTCAGTCCTCACTGTTCATCCCGTCTGCTGCTTCACCCCTATTGTAGCTGTCAGCACATTGAAATTGCTGGTTTTCCATTTGTTTCAACTCTGTTGACCTGCTTTGGTCTTTCACCTGTACTACATGACCCGTCACTCACCTGCTGTGTTGCTATTTCCATCAGCTCTTGTCTTGTTTCCTCCTTCATAGCCCCGTATGTGTCCAGTGGAGAGAAGGGCCCGTCGAGTTTAAGTGCTATCTCTCTGGGTTGGGCCCTGGGTGCAGGTGTGGCCTTGCTGAGTTTACCCGATCAGCCTCCTTTGTCATCCCCCTAGAAGCTTTTCAGTATCTGCCAGGTGCCTTCAGGATGAAGTCTCAGTGCTCTAACTTGTTTTTCAAAGGTCTGTGTAATTTGATTACTACCTCATTATTCAGCACCCTGTGAACTTAGGTTTGTAAAATGTGAAGAAAGAGGAGATCCTCCAGGGCATTGGTACCACGTGTAAGGCCGATGTATATGATCCGTTAGTTTCCAGAGGTTTTATGCCAGGTTTTGCAGCACCCGGAAGGAGCCTGGAATAAATCTTCACACCTCCTGCCTTCTTAGGACATGAGCTCAGGGGCTTTGATTTTGTGTTTCAATGAGGGAGGGGCTTGTCAAGAGTATTTGAGAATTTTGACAAGGACTATTTCTGGTGGATGTCAGAGTCCAAGCATTGAGAGACACTTTCAACGTACAGTTATAAGCTTGTGCTTAGGAAACTGCTTTCAAAGGCCTAGTTAAAAGAATGTTTCCTTAAAAACACAAAGTAATAAAGTAATGGACTCCTTGCTGTATATGGTACAGCTTCCCCCATCCTCAACACACATGCCTATTAAACTGGCTAGAATTAAAAAGACTGGTCATAACAGGTATTGGCCAGGATGCGGAGGGACTGAAACCCTCATCATTGCAGGGGGAAATGTAAAATGATACACCCCCTTTGGAAACCAGTATAACAGTTTCTTTAAAATTCAAGGATGTATTTGTCAGAATAAAATACACACATCCGCAGTATCCTCTGCATTTAAAGATACACTTGCCTTATCTTTATCTGAAAGGGAGGCCATTTGGCTAAAAGAGAGCGGGCTGGTGTCATCTGGCACATGCACTCTGTCCTGAATGGCATGTGTGTCTGGTTCCCTGAAAGCATGCTTTCACTTTGACTTCATGTTTGGAGAGGTTTATTCCTGCCTCTTGGGACTCAGCACAGCCCCCAGCAGGCATTCAGTCTAGCTTGGAACCGGAGAGGAAACCCACCCTGGTGACCTGTGTTTCACTCCCTGACCAGTGAGGGGAGCCAGTCACAGCCACCATCTATGAAGCACTTATGCACACTTCAGCATGTTACTTTGGTTTCACCTCACAGCCATTTGGGGTGGATGTTTTCCCCTTTCTTCAGATGGAAACAGTATCGGATTAATGCTTCTTCCCTAGCCTTCGTGCCACCATGCTCCGTGGCAAATGCGTTTATTCCTCCTCCTCATGGATAGAAAGGTATGCTTTCCTTTGGATTCCTTAATTCTTCAAGGCCGTGGGTGGAAAAATGTTCTCTTCTGTCCACTTTACCTCTCTCATCTCTTCTGGCCTTTGCTTCACTCTTTTTTTGATATTCGGTATTTAAATGTTTACCGTGTGCTGGGCACTGCTCTGCTGAGCACTTGCCATCTGCTGTCTAGTTACTGAACCTTCCTGATGGTATTATGAAATAGTTGGTGCTCCACTCATGATGGCTGTGAGAAAACGAGGACTCTGCTTCCCTGAGCACACAGCCATGGAGAGGTGGTGCTGACCTCGGGTTCCATTCCAGGTTTATCTTAAGCCAGAGTGGGCTTGACCATCTGTCATTCTGCTCCATCCTCAGTGTCTGAAGTTCAGGGTGTATAGGAGAGAGTCTGTATATGCAGGAACATGGCATAAGGGAACTTCTCCGACAAGAAGACATGCTCCTTCTGAACCAGACTTGTGGGATGTGTCCTGAAATTGTATATTTTAGCTATATAGTGTTAGGTAGGAATTCTTGGGGCGCCTGAGTGGCTCAGTTGGTTAGGTGTCCGACTTCAAGTCATGGTCTCACGGTGCGTGGGTTCAAGCCTCACATCAGGCTCTATGCTGACAGCTCAGAGCCTGGAGCCTGCTTCACATTCTGTGTCTCCTCCTCTCTGTGCCCCTCCCCCACTTGTGCTCTCTCAAAAGTAAACATTAAAAAAAAAAAAAAAAAGGTGGGAATTCTTTGAATAAATGTGTTGGCAGGCAGTAAGGAGGGAGTGTGGCTTGGGCTTCCTAATGGTTCTGAAGGTGTCTCCTGAGGCAACATGGATGTGTGTATTCAGATATTAATAGCAGCTGTGACCAGGGTCCCCATTGGCACATTTCCCAGATACTGTTACTGACCCTTAAGTCTGGGTGGCAGAGAGCAGTTTTGCTGCTGCTGTCACAGCAAGAACTTTGGTCTTCAAAAAGCTGTCCTGTAACTACCTCTAATGGGCCCTGGTTGGCCGTGGTAGGTGTTGGAGATTTGTCTACTTGTTATACTCTAATGATGGTTCTGCCATGTTTCCAAGGTTGTGCCTTTGTGTATCTTGTTGGGTGGGAGAAAAGGGAAGGACTGTTGACTGGGAAGAAAACGAAGAGGTCATGAGACCTTCTTATTTCTTTTTCTCCTAGTACTGAGCATGCTCCACAACCCACTGGGCAATGTCCTGGGGAAACCCCCCTTGAGCTTCCTGCCTCTAGACCCCCTTGGATCTGACTTGGTGGACAAGTTTCCAGCACCCTCAGTTAGAGGATCCCGCCTAGACACCCGGCCCATCTTGGACTCACGTTCTAGCAGCCCCTCTGACTCAGACACCAGTGGCTTCAGTTCTGGATCGGATCATCTCTCAGATTTGATTGTACGTAACTTGTTGGGGAGTGGGGTGGGCAAGGCAAGTGAGTGTAAAAAGGGAAGTGTGTCTGCCAGAATGCAGGCAGGAGGTGGAGGCCACTGTGTGCGTGTATGGAACTTCTCAGTGGAGAGGAGGATGCCTTGTGTGCTCACGGAGCAATCCGTTTCAGGACCCCAGCTGCCAACTCTCTTTTCACAAGATACTTCCAAGAGTTTGGAGAAATAGTTAATTTCAAAAGTTAATTTGGGAGTCTTGGCGTTGCTCTGTTTCTTGACCTGCTTGGTCATTTTCTTTAGCCTCGAAACTATGTGTATGGTTTATGTACTTTTACATGTTTTACCTCAAAATTTTTAAATGATGGTTTTAAAAATTGCATTAGTAATTATCAGCTAGGATTTCCATCCAGATCAGACTGACTGTAGCTCCCACATTCTCTTTACTGACCCAGGCCACGTCTCAATCTGAGGCTGTGATGAATCTATTAAATGTTGCCTTGAGTTAATTTATGTACTACATGCTCCTTATCCATGGCTACGTGTGACGTGTGTGGCACCAGTGGTAAGTGGAGCTGGCAGGTGGATTAGAATAGATGAGGAATAGGGGACAGTAGAAGTAAGTATATGGGCATGGCAGTGAGAAAGCATCCTAAAATAAAATGCAGTATCAGGAGCCTTCTGAGCCTGACTTTCTGTGCTGCCAACCCCACTCCCCACCTGACTGTTGAACAAATAAGAAGGCTTATTTTCCTGCCCTCTGCTCTTCTCTATCCAGGATTGGCAACGTTGGATGTGGCTAGTTTCCCATCCATAGCATGACCTTTTAGGAGGACCCACCTTGTCACCTGTCAGCCTGTCCTAGAATATGAGCGCTGGCCTTGTTTCCACTGCTTGTTGGTTTTATGTTTAGGCCATGTTTCCAGAAGGGTAATCACAAGCAGGTCCCTTCAATGATCTGGGCTGTAGTTTATTCCCCTATAAAATGGGGTTAGATGCTTCTAGTTCTATTTATGTTAATTTAGATGGAGCTCAGTCTTGGAAATTTACTTCATAACTGACTTAATAGTTTGGGATTTTGTTTGAAGAACTTTCTCAGATACCCTACCCCAAAGGCTGATGAAGGGATACGGGCAGACAGCTCACAGAAGAGGTAAATAGAGGCAAAGCCTCTATTTAGGAAATATTGAGTCATTTGGTTTTTTTGATAACGCAGTATTATTTTTACCTGCTTAAGTTAGTAATAGAGCCTTGACACAGGCTTATAGTGAAACCCATACTCTTCCACATTTCTGATAGAACATGGAACCCTTCTAGAAAGCATTTTGGCATTCTCCATATAGGAATCGGACAAAAACAAAACCAACACAAAATTAGAAGAAGCTATACATACTTCAGGTTTTTATTTATAATCCTGAAAACTTGGAATGTGTCTGAATGTTTAACAGGGGAATAGGTTAGTGAAATGTAGCTTGTTCCCTAAATAGAATATCATAAATTAATTAAAAATTGTTATGAAGACTGCCTGGCAATATGAAAAAAAAAGTTGAGTTGGGAGAAAAGAATTTGTTTAAATTCAGTATAATCTTAAATTCAGTATAATCTTAAAAATGCATGGGAAGAAAGTCTGAAAGAAAATGTCAGAGCTATATGGTATTTTTTTCATAATTTCTGTAGTGTGATTATTTTATAACAAAACTGTCCTTTAAAAACCTATATCTTCCTTTTTCCTCCCCCAGTCAAGCCTTCGCATTTCCCCTCCTCTGCCCTTCCTGTCCCTGACAGGGAGTGGTGCCAGAGACCCTTTAAAGATGGGGGTTGGGTCCCGGATGGACCAAGAGCAAGCTGCTCTCGCTGCAGTCAGCCCCTCCCCAACCAGTGCATCAAAGAGATGGCCTGGAGCTTCTGTGTGGCCATCCTGGGACCTCCTCGAAGCTCCCAAAGACCCCTTCAGCATAGAGAGAGAGGCCAGGCTGCACCGGCAAGCTGCAGGTGAGTGTGGCTGTCACCCTGTGGGGGTCTGAGGCCTCATTCTGGGCACAGAGAGTAAGTGACCTTAGTTCACAGACTGAACTGTCCAGAAGAGGACTTGGTCGTGTGTTGAGGTCTCTGGATCTGCAAAGAATGGTCTCTTCTATGGAGTGAGTGCTAATGGGACAAAAACTCAGGAACTTCTTTGAGGCTGAGCAGAGAGGAAAGAGGCTGTGCTCATACAGAGTTGGACCCATTTCCCAGTTGCGCTCTTTTGTGGAGACTGGCTGAGTACTAGTGTTGCTTTTGATTGTTTCATGGGTGGGTGTCTTCAGGAGGAATCCTGGAAGTGATGCCCAGAATTTTGTCTACCTCTCCCCTTTCTAATTCAAAGACCTGTCAGACATAACCCCTGCTGGAGCTCTCTTCCCCTGAGGGATGCTCTGTTGGGTAATGGGTCCACGTGTCAGCCTCTAAGGTAAGGAACCCTTAGGTTCTCTCAGGAACCCTTAGCTTCTGTCATTTAAATGACCTTAAACATGTATTGAGTCTATTCTTCATCTTTTACCAGTAGTTCGGAAGTAAATGGGTCTTAATAAGTCATTCTTGACTAAAGCTTCAGGGAGGTGTTGTTCACCAACTGCTCTTCTAAGGTTCTGGAGTTGAGGACTATAAGTGAGTGTTGAGTTTCTCCATCCATTTGTTTCTGGTGGCTTCAGATGTCTGTCTTTCCAGTCACGGAGCTGGGCCTGATCTCATTCTCCTCTGATAGTCCTGCTGCCCTGTTCACATAATGGTTTTGGCAACCCATGTTTGTACTAATGCCATTGTTTTTGGAATGACATTACCTTACTCTTGGATGAGGCCATTATATTGATTTATGTTTTTGTTTGCGAAATATTGCTGATGGTGCCCAAGTTCTTGGCGTAGCAACACATTGGCCTTTTAAGGAATGAGCTTCCACGTCATTGTCCTGAATGGAAATGATGGTTCATTTCACTGGCTATCCGCCCCATTGCCGAAGTAGTAAAATGGGCAAGGATTAGCCAGTCCCCACTGAGACTAGTCCCTGATCTGGAAAGGCACAGACTGCGTGGGGGGCATGATTAAAGAGAGAAGGCTGAGCTGAGAGGCCAAGAACAAAGAGGCCTCTAGAAGTTACCAGAACAGGCCACACAGAAGATAGTTCCTACTCTGTCCAGCAAGAAAGGTTTCTTAATGGGGTGTTGTCAGAGAAACTTTGCAGTGGGTTTAGACAAACTTGGATTTGGTATAAACAGGAAGCAGAGTAGTTGGGGAAAAATCAACATTATCTTACAGTGTTGGCATCAAGGAAGGCCCAGTGTCTGTCCAGGTGCCATGGAGACAGCTCTGGCAGTGATGGGACATGGTTCTGATGCAGGGAGCAGTTGAGACATTCTTGTCTTTTGGGTTGCTAGTGGTGGTTTTTACTGGCAGTGGTCCTGACTTCTGTGACTGATGAGTTCAGAGTGCAGACAGGAGAACAATAGAATGTTCCTTATTTGAATATTTAGGGAGAAGGCCAGTTTGGACCAGTAAGTCTGTAGAACATTGTATACAAGATTGCTCTGTTTATTTTAAAGTAATTAGAAATTTAAATCAATTAGTGTTGTAAGCCATGACTAGGTAAAACTGCTTTGTGGTTAGCTTATCAGTTATATGTTTGAAAATAGCTTGGGTTGTGATAATTTTTAACCTACATAGCTGCTTTGCCTTTCCTCTCTGTTCTAGTGGAGACAGAAGTAGTGGTTTAGAGTTGTCCTACTGGGCCAACTGGTTTGATGAGGCGTAAGGTTCCTTGCCTTTCCGAATACTGGTGGATGTTCTCCCAGCAGCCAGGCTAGGACTGTGGCCTGTGTAACTCTCCCCAGATGAGTTCGTCCCAGAAAGGAGCAATGACTTTGTTGACTCTGACCGGTTTCTTTCTCTCTTTGTCGTCTCTGTTGTCAACCAAAGCTGTGAATGAAGCAACCTGTACCTGGAGCGGCCAGCTTCCTCCCCGGAACTATAAGAACCCCATCTACTCCTGCAAAGTGTTCCTAGGAGGTGTTCCTTGGGATATTACGGAAGGTGAGCTGCCTCTGAGACCTCCTACTTGAGGGTGGGGCATGTCTCTCTAGAGCATTAAACTTGGACCTAAACCTGTGGCTCCCATATTGCTTCTGTCTGGTGCTTACACCCATCACCTGGGACCCAAGATCACTTCCGAATTGTTTGTCAAGGGAGGGAAGTCTGGGGGAAGAATGCCGGTGATCCTGTGCTTGGGCCTTCCTGGGGAGAATGGTGCCTCAGTTTCTGCCATTCTTTTCCATCTCTTTGCAGCTGGATTGATTAACACCTTCCGTGTGTTTGGCTCTTTGAGTGTGGAGTGGCCTGGTAAGGATGGCAAGCACCCCCGGTGTCCTCCCAAAGGTAATATGCCTAAAGGTAATACAGACATGGTAGGAGATTTTTTTTTCCCCTCCCTAGTATGTAATTGCACTGAGGGATGCTGGTATGTCCCAGCCGCATGCTGGTAACATGGTTTGGGCACTCCCGAGCACAGAACTTTGGGCTGACAGCACTTCTCTTCAACCTGGCACATCCTTCTGCTTCCTCTGAGCTAATGATCCATCAGTCCACATTGACACTGCAGTTGGAGCTGTCTGGGAAACTTCCTCGTGCACTTCCCTCCAAACCTGAACCCCGGCAGCTACTTTCCTCTCAAAATGAGGCGTCTGAAAAGCTTTCCTTTGCCTGCCTTTCTTGCCCAGTTACATTGTTGCCTGACCTAATTCTGAGATCCCTTTGGAGTTGGCAGGAATGAGGACCAAGCATCTGACTCCTCACTGGTCTGAAATGAGATCCCTTCCCTGTAGAAAGGAGCAGGTGCTATTTTCACTCTGCCCCATCTTCACTGAAAATGTTCCGATGAACTGAACCACTGGTCTAACTAGGCTTTTAAAGCAATATCTCCATGGCCCAGCAGGCTGGCCACAGACCTGCCCTCCATCCTGCCCCCAGGACAGCCTGGCTCTGCTGACCAGAACATGCTGTGTGCCCTGGGACGGATGGCTGCGTGGTTATGATGGGATCCTGTGTCCCACCTTGCTGGTCCCTTCCTTCACTCGGGTGGGAGACGATGTGCTTCTCCCTCCCATGGCCTGGCCATCTGACACAGCAAAGTGCTTCCATTCAGAGACTCTGCAGGAGTGGGACAGAAATGTGTTTTACACGTGAGACTCTTTCTCCTGGACAAAACTCCCTACTGCAAAACCAAGACTGAGGAGTAACCACCTGAGGGATGTTAATGCAGTTTCTCTTTTTATTGGAAATAGGGTATGTGTATCTGGTCTTCGAACTAGAGAAGTCTGTCCGGGCCTTGCTTCAGGCTTGCTCTCATGACCCGCTGAGCCCAGATGGCCTAAGTGAATATTACTTCAAGATGTCCAGCCGAAGGATGCGCTGCAAGGAGGTGTGTTAGCCCGGGTCCTCTCTGGGTCGGGGTAGTTGGTGCATGAGGCAGTGGGTCTCCCACAGGTGGGTGAATATGCAGGCTGCTGGATGAGGATTCTTGTTGTGGCCAAAAGGCTGCTCCTCCTGTTTTACAGTAAATACAGCAAGATACTCTGTTGTGTTAGAAAAACAAAAATCTTTGGTCCTCAATGGTGTATGTGTGCTCCTGCCTGTGGTGATCAGGCTGTGTCCCAGCCCTTACTCCAGCCAACACTTCTGTCCCAAACCTCTAGTCTTAGAAATGAAAACAACAGCTTTCTCCACTTGGGTTTAACTGATAATCTACAGCTGTTTCTCCCTAGACCTGCCCTCAGGCTGTGCCTTGCAACCTTCCTGTCTCTGGTGGGTAAATTCCTCTTTGGCCCACACCATCTGTGGATCACCTCTGCACTCCCATTCGGGGCTTCATTAGCTGTGTACGTTCCTCCATACACTTCTCTCTCCTTTTGCCTCTCCTGCTCCTGGCCGTGTCTGCCTGTGCCCTGAGCATCATGGGTCTCTAGCATAGGTACTCTACCTGCAGCCCTCACTGCACGTTCCTGAGCCCTGTCTCAGACTTACTGAATCAGTTTGGGAGGAGCTACAGATTCTCCACTTTGGACCACGCTCCCCAATGGTTCTAGCAGTTGATGCTTGAAAACCACTTGTCAGAGGAAGTTTGGCGTTGAGGAATCAGTGTTGTTGTTTTTTTTTTAATGTGGTTCCAGAGAACATCACTTTCGTGACACTGGACTAGATATTTAATATATCTGAAACTTCATTTCCTTGTCTATACAAGGGAAACGTGAAATGCCTATTTTAATAAAAAGATCAGCAGTTGCCAGGGGTCAGGGGGAAGGGAGGGATGCATAGGTGGAGCACAGGGGATTTTTAGGGCAGTGAAACTACTCTGTTGTAATGGTGCAATCATGTCATCACACATTTGTGGAAACTCCTAGAATGTACAACAGACACCAAGACTGAACTCTAATGTAAACCATGGACTTGGGAGCTAGTGATGTATTGATAAAGGTTTACTGCTTGTAGCAAAGGTACCTCTCTGGTGGGGGATGCTAATATCAGGGGAGGCTGTGCATGCGGTGAGGCGGCAAGGATATGGGGACTCTGTACTGTCAGCTCAGTTTTGCTGTGAACCCTAAAACTGCTCCAGAAAGTAAAATCTGTAGGGTAAAGGGCGGAGGGGGAGCTACTGACATGGTCACATCGGATTTAAAATAAATAATGGAAGTAACAAAGCTGACTCTTTGTTTTATAGATGTTTCCTGGTATTAGTTCACATTCTTAGTGACAGGGTAAGTTTGTCTTCCTGCTGCACAGAGACCCACCACACTGCTTTCCTCAGTGCGGCACTGCTGTCTTGTCGCTGTGTGGGGCCCGTGTTGCTCTCCCACCTTGTTACACTCCAGGGCTTGGTTAACACGCTCCTTCGTCCCTGTCCCCTGCTTTCACAGGGAGAGGCTGCCACGGCCATACCACAGACCCCCTGAGCCGCCTCCGTGTCCCTGCTGACAACTTCCTTGTCTCCTGTTCTGCCGCATCCCCTTGCAGTGATTACATGTCTGTCTTTGATGTGCTGGCTGTAGGCTGTCCTGGTTCTCCTTTCCTCTCAGACACTTAACTTGCTTGTGTCCCCTCCCTGCCCCCAGTGCGGTCGGCATTGAACTCCCTCCTCTTCTCATCTCTCCCTGTCACTTAAACGACTCACTCCTGTGGCTCTCTTCTCACTTTTAGACCCAGTCTCATGTCCTCCATGAGCCCCACCTTCCCATGGGGCCTTTCTTGACGATGCCCTATAATCCTAGACTCTTGTGTTCAGTGTAAGGAAAAGCTTGGAAAGCTTGCTGGCCCTTGGGATATAGACCAAGACTGTGATCCTTGTCCATGGGGGTGGAAGAAGCAAAATTGGCTTTTCATCTTCCAGTGAAGTGAGCTCCCCCCAGTCAGATGCTCATTAAGGTCTTTTAGGCCTGGACCCCATCAGCGCCGATTCTTCGCTTTCCCACCATGCCCAGGCGGTCTGACCCCTCTGTTGAAGAATCTTCTTGGTCTTGGCCTGTTGTGTGCCCAGTGCCACCAGCCTCCTCCACGTCTTTCTCACCTGTCCTCCCAGCCACTGGTTTCTGCCTCCGTTCTCTTTCTGCTTTGAGACTTGTTGGATTTTCACAGATCTACCTTTCCAAAAACAGCATTCGTCTGTCCGCTCCCTTCCTTGTGGAGTTCTCTACCTGCTATGCCAGAGTTTGTTCTAGGCTCAGGGGACTCAGAGGTAAAGGACCCAGTCAGCTCTTGCCCTGGTGTGTCGCTGCTCTGTTAGACTGCCACCTGCATCTCTCTGGTCACTTCACTGCTCCTGGCACGCCTGCTGATGCGCACATTGGGCCAGGAGCTGTCTCACAGTGGTACCTCGAGTATCCCCACTCCCTGTCCTTCCAGCTCTGTCCTTCGGTTTCTGAGTCCTTCATGATCTCTGTTCATCAGTGACTGTGGTCCTCTGCTGGAACCACACGGTTGAAGGTTGTGACAGAGTGCTAGGTTCCTGGGTGTGACTGTTGGGTACCATTGTGCTTGTTCTCCAGGGTGAGTGACTGCTCTTGCGCTTCTTTTCCCCAGTTTGGACACAAAGACTCAGTAAAATGCAGCTTTGGTTGGGTCTGGTGAGGTGGCTGCCAAGTGCCTGTGTGCCTGGGACTGGGCAGTACACCTCCCCCACTAGATGGGTCTTGGCAGTCCGTTTGAGCATCTCCCGAGCATGCGCCTCACGGTACAAGAACCTGTCTCTCTCTGGCTCCTGGCCAGGGCTGATCCACCTTTGGGTGGTTTCCAGGTGCAGGTGATCCCCTGGGTCTTGGCTGACAGCAACTTTGTCCGGAGCCCATCTCAGAGACTTGACCCCAGCAGGACGGTGTTTGTTGGTGCCCTGCACGGGATGCTCAACGCCGAGGCCCTGGCAGCCATCTTGAACGACCTATTTGGTGGAGTGGTGTATGCTGGGATTGACACAGATAAGCACAAGTATCCCATTGGTAAGTGTCCCACTTCTGTGTGGGAAAGCTTGGTGGCCCCTGGGACTGTGCTAGACCAAGACTGTAATACTTCCCATGGGAATGGAGAGGGAGGCCTGACCCAGGTCTGCAGATGAGCATAGATGAGCAGCATAGCATCTTTTTCTAGATAAGCCACCAGTACTGACCGTCTGTGCCTACCTCTCTCCCTACCACTTCCCTTGAACGGGGAGAAAGCGGTAGGGGAACATAGGAAGTGATAGGAGGGGAAAATGACATAGGAGCTTTACTTGGAAACTAAACCAGTCTGGGACAGACAACAGGTAATCTTTCATTAAAAGGCCAGGACTTCCCTGAACTTGCCTGTTTTTGTTGTTGTTGTTGTTGTTAAGAGTTCTTGAAAAGTGGCCTTGTCTCTAGGGTCAGAGACCAGGGTCAGGCTGAGGGACGACACCGATAGACTCAAGCAACAGCGTGTAGTCATGGCCTGTGGCATCCTAGCTTAGGGGAGTCTGCGGGCCTAAATGCTGGGTTTTGGGTCAGCCCCCCTGGGAAAGGAGATTCATTCCCCAGTCCTAGCAGAGTGACCTTGGTGGTGGAGTTCGGAGGGGGAGCAGAGCCTGAACTTTTTGATCAAGACCTGGCTAACCCACTTCCCCAGATGCTTAGTCTGCCCACCCACACTGAATCTGATCAGGAAGGAGCACCGTGTACTCATCAGTGCTGTGCTGCAGACTGAGGACAGGGAGTCAGAGGCTGCGGGGGCAGGGGCAGCATTAGGATGAGGCTGCCTCCTGGTCCGGAGGGGTGCCTGCTGCATCACCTGTACACAGGTGTTCTTTGTGTATCTGTCTGTGCCAGAGGGGTCTCTTCCTTCCCGCCTCTTTTTGTTTGTTTTCTTGTGAGTTTTGTTCTTTTTGTTGTTGTTTTTGAGAGAGAGATGTGTGACTGGGGAGGGGCAGAGGGGGAGAGAGGGAAAGAGAGCATCTTACGCAGGGTCCACGCTCAGCATGGAGCTGGATGTAGGGCTCCATTCCACAAACCTAGGATCCTGACCTGAGCCAGAATCAAGAGTCAGATACTCGACCTACTGAGTCACCAGGCGCCCCTCTTTCCTCCCCAAATCAGTCCGTGAATCCTTCCCCATTCCTGAGTGGTTTGTGCCACCGTGGTCTATAACTACGCTGTCCGGTAAGTGTGGTTGCTGTGTGTTTAAAATACAGCTAGTGCCACATGTTGAAATGATAATATTTTGGATATATTGGGTTAAATAAATTATAAAAATTCCACCACTTTTCACTTAAATGTGGCTTTTGGAGACTTAAAATTATGTATCTCCTATTATATTTCTGTCTCATGGCCCTGGTCTAGAAACAGGGTATCTTCAGTGTTGACAAGCAGCATTTGGGAGAATTTGGGTAGAAGGGAGGTTTGTTCTCTTGTTCTAGGATCTGGTCGTGTGACTTTCAATAACCAACGCAGTTACCTGAAAGCAGTCAGCGCTGCTTTTGTGGAGATCAAAACCACCAAGTTCACCAAGAAGGTGAGTGTGCTGGTCTGTACCTTTACTCTGAGCCTTTACTACCCAGGGCAGGCCTGAGACCAAAGCTGTTTGTGTGCTGCGGGTGCCCAGGCAGTGGGTCAAGCTCCTGGGCACTCAGGTGAAGGCTGGGGTTGGGAGTGGCTTGGCGATGGCAGGCTCAGGAGGGAGAGAAGCTGGGATTGTTGAGCCTTTTCAGTATGTGGGGTGTCTTCCCTCACTGGGTATTTGACTGGCATCTCTGGGCAGCCGGCTTCCCATTCTCCAACCTGACCTGCGTCCTCTGAATGCTTACCTGTAGCTGGGTGATCAACTGCTGGCGTATAGTTTCAGAGACTCATGTTGTGGAGCCTGCCAGCCAGCTCTGGGGGACGTGTGAATCTGTCCTCTGGCGGCTGTGTTTGTACACTCTCTCCCTGCAGTTCTCACCTTTAAAACAGTAAATATACTGTTGCCCGGTAATGTCCCTTCTCCTCTGGCCCGTTGGCCTCCTGGTGAGAAGAACCACTTCGTTCTCCTGGTTTGCTTTGTGCAGGTTCAGATTGACCCCTACCTAGAAGATTCTCTGTGTCATATCTGCAGTTCTCAGCCTGGTCCTTTCTTCTGTCGAGATCAGGTGAGTCCCCTGGGGCACTCCAGATGTCTAGGAAGTCCCTACCCTCAATTAAAAATTGTCCTGTAACATTTGTCACTAGAAGGTTGGTGCTCTCAGGTACCTTGCGGTTGTCTAAGAGCACAGAAGAGGCAGCGGTAATGTTCTGTGATGGTGAGAGCAGGGATACACTTTGATAGCTTGATGGAAAACTCTTGGGAAAGCTTTTGAGTCCAGTCTTGATATGCTGGCCTTCCCTGTGCCTGGGGTGTTGTGTGCAGTGTCACCCCGAGGCCAGCAGGGAGTGTTGGTGGATGAAAGGAAGCTGGGTGGGTGTGGTCAGCAGCACCTGTGACCAGGTACCATAGTTCTAACACAGGCCTTCTCGACTGATTTTTCCCTATTCAGGAACCCCTTCTGTACTTGTGAATCTCTGCACTCTTGTGTTTGTCCCTGGTTTATATTCACAGTTGTGAGAAATGGGCAGCTTTCTGTTGAATGTTCCTGGGTGGGAGCAGGGATGTGGATGTGTTGGGGTAGTCTTTCTCAGGTGTTAATGAACACACATCACTTGAGGATCTTATTTTTATTTTTTGAGAGAAGAGAGGGAGTGCAAGAGGGGAGGGGCACTGGGGTGGGGAGAGAGAATCCCAAGCAGGCTCCTCACGGTCAACACAGAGCCCATCGTGGGGCTCATTCTTACAAACTGTGTGAGATCATGACCTAAGCCAAAATCAAGAGTGAGGAGCTTAACTGACTGAGCCACCCAGGTGCCCCAAAAGAGAGAGAGAATCTTTTTTTTTTTAATTTTTTTTTTCAATGTTTATTTATTTTTGGGACAGAGAGAGACAGAGCATGAACGGGGGAGGGGCAGAGAGAGAGGGAGACACAGAATCGGAAACAGGCTCCAGACTCTGAGCCATCAGCCCAGAGCCTGACACGGGGCTCGAACTCACGGACTGCGAGATCGTGACCTGGCTGAAGTCGGACGCTTAACCGACTGTGCCACCCAGGCGCCCCTGAGAGAGAGAATCTTAAGCAGGCTCCATGCTCAGGGTGGAGCCTGATGTGGGGTTTGATCCCATGACCCTGGAATCATGACTTGAGCTGAAACCCAAGAGTCGGACGTTCAACTGACTGAACCACCCAGGCGCCCCCAAGGATTTTGTTTAAATGCAGATTCTGATTCAGTGGGCTTGGAGTGGAACCTGAAATTCATTATTCCTGACGAGTTTCCAAGTGGTCCAGTGTTGCTAGCTGGTACCATACTTTGACAAGAGTTAGGGTAAGTCGGGCCTGTTGAGATACCCACAGTCAGTCATGCTTGGGCTTTTTTTTTTT